AGTGGGTGTACCATATCCCCTACCATGCACCAGCTGCAGGGAAAGTTGAACGGTGCAATGGCCTGCTTAAAACCACCTTGAAGGCACTGGGTGGGGGAACTTTCAAGAACTGAGACATTAATCTACCAAAGGCCACATGGTTAGTGAACACCCGAGGTTCCACTAACCGAGCAGGCCCTGCCCAATCTGAGCCCTTGGGAATATCGTATGGAGATAAGGTTCCAGTGGTACACATGAGAGGTATGCTAGGAAAAACTGTTTGAGTGAATCCTGCCTCCAGCAAAGACAATCCCATCCATGGAGTTGTATTCGCTCAAGGACCGGGCTGCACCTGGTGAGTGATGCAAAAGAATGGAGAGACCCAATGCATACCCCAAGGAGACCTTGTTTTAGGGTGAAATACCTATGGTACTGTGCCTATGTCTCTAACTGCATGTATGTATATATATGTAAAGGTTTAATTTGATATAGCATATTAATATGGGAGAAATTCAGGGGTGGATACTGTTGGGGGTTGAATGTTTCCCTTTTCTTTCTGTGGAATTTCTCCCATTGTTATGCTAAGCAGTTTTGGCTACACCTTCAAACGGTAATGTTCTCTTGCAGGGGTCTGGGTGGAGGGGGTGGGGGAAGGATGGGAAAAGGAGAGGTGGGACAGGGGTCTGGAGCGGGCTGGGACTCTCTCGTTTGGCTCATGCAGTGGGAGGACACCCTGCGCTCTGATCTGGCATCTCCCCTGCCATCCCAGCACTGAGATCCACGCTCCCTGCCATTGGACATAGCTCTGCTGCTCTCCCACCTCACCCTACTACCTCTGGACATTCTGCTGAGCACCATGACTGACACCATGAGGGGGGCAGTCACTTTCCCATCCCCTCTCATCCCTGGGCTGCAGCCGCCATCACCCAGCCCTCTTCAACTGCGCCGGCTCTGCCCTGCCCCCAGCAGCGGTAACTGAGCACAGGGAGACAGCCTGTGGCCAAAAGGGACTGGAACTTAGCTATACTGTTCTGTTTTCAATTTCTGTTGTCAATTTTTATAGCTGTTGTTGTTTTCTGCCTTGTTAGATATCAGTAAAGAACTGTTATTCCTATCCCCATATCTCCCGCCTGAAGGCCTCTGATTTGAAACTAAAGTAATTAAAAGGGAGGGGGTTGCACTCTGCATCTCAGGAAAGGGGTTCTCGCCTTTCCTTAGACCATACCTGTCTTTCAAACCGAGACACTTTTTGCCTGTGGCTGTAAATGTGAAGAAACTAGAGCCATGTAGCTAGATACCTTTAAACAATTGGAAGGATTTTTCTGAAATCTAACTTAGTCTAGTCATCTGTTGCAGCAGACCTCTTGCAAGGGGTAGAAATGAGCCAAGACAGACTCTCATTCAATAACATGAAAAGGGTATGGGTTTAGTCTTCTTTACATACTAGCCATCCTGACTTTGACTACAGCAAGCTCCTACTGTAGGGTCCAATTACAGAGTGTGACTGCTGGCTATTTCCTTCTGGACTGTGACTGCAAATATTGGTTCGCAGACTCTGAACAGAGATTTTACCTAGCTCGACTAGGACTGCAGGCTCCAACAACAGACTCCAACTGCATCATACTCAAGAATAACGTCTTAGCAGATCTTTTACTGCAGCAACTCACTTCCTTATTTTGTTCTTCTTTGTGTCTGTCTGGATCATTCCTTTTTCCTCAGGGTTCCTTTGTCTCCTCCAGGTCCTCTTCCTGCAAGATTCCCCTGGCCCGTCAACCTACCCTTTTTATCACACTTATCTTTATTAGTCACAGCTGCAGCCCATTAAGGGCAAGGCTGTTCCTCTTCTTTGGTAATTAGTACAACTTTGATTTATCAGGGGTGAGGTTGCCTGTAATCCCTTTGTCTACACCTACAATCATCAGGTCAAATGTAAATGATCTTTCCACGTTTTGAAGACAGCTAAAGCTTTGTGAAAATAGTTTGTATGAAACAACTGCAAATGTAATGCCAAGCCTTGGTTCTACCTTGCCACAAAATAGAGCCCAAGTCTACATTTCATACTGACTTCTAAATCTGAGAATAGGTAACAGTGACAACCATCAATTTCCTCAAAATATGTTACTTCCATCGAATTCCTCCAAGAGTAATATCAAAGTACAGATCCAAAATGTATTTATGGATAACAAGTACTTACATATAACCTGTGAATTTATTGAGATCATTGTTTGGCATTTCACAGATGATGATGTTTTGGAAAAATTCTGGTTCATACACAGTATCCTACAAGAGAAAACATACCGAGAATGAGTGTCAAATCCAATGCGTATCTGAAATGCTAAACACTAAGAAAAGCTTAATTTAGACCACTAGGGCTGGAGCACTTGCCCTAGAAGGAGAGACAAAGACTTTTGAGCTCATACAGCCTGAAGCAAAGCTTCAGAAGGGCTGAATATTTCCTCCTCTTGGAATAACAACTGGTCAAATTAAATTAAGAAAATGCTGTATATTGGACAAGACATCACAGATGCAAATTAGCAAAAACATCTGTCTTCATTTAAAGTGAACATAACAAAGATAGTGGATTTAGATTAAATATTAGAAAGAAATTCTTCCCTATAAGGGTGGCGAAACCCTGCCCAGAGTTGTGGCTGTCCCAACTCTGGAAGTGTTCAAGGCCAGGTTGGACAGGGCTTTGAGCAACCTAGGATAGTGGAACCCATGGCAGAGGGTTATAACAAAATGAACTTTAAGGTTCCTTCCAGCCTAAACCATTCTGGGATTCTGTGGTTCTATGAAATATTCAGATCACTTATAAAAGAAAAACAGTAGTCAACAAGAGCAAGATCAAATGAAAACAATTTCAGGATTTAACAGGATTTTTGGTTATGCTAAAAGACTTATGTTACTGTCCAGGATGGTATAATCATAAAGAGATCACATATTTGAATGAATGTATTGCAATCAAAGAAAATTAAAAGCAAGACTAACAGCATAAAGCCTCCACCACCCAACCCTAAAAAGGATGAACAAATCCAGAAGAGGGAAGGCAGTAGAATAAACCCACACTGCTGGGAGAGACAAAATGAGACAAAGCTTTTCAGGCTAAGGACTCACTCAGAGTTTGGAGTTGAACTGGTCATATGATTTTACTTCAGTTCCCCAGTGTTCAGGGAAACAACTTAGGGTTTGGACTGCATGGAGCAGTCCACAAAGCAGACAGAATGAGAGGTACTTGACTGCCATAAGTGGTGATCTAGTTTTAACTGAAAAATACACAGAACTTTGATTTTTGATTAAGAAAATGTAATACAAATGGGATGTGAGAAATGTGAGAGATAATACTTATTGTTGTACAAGATAATTTTTAAAAGAAGTGAAGCTCACTTAATAGAAAATCTTCTGTTAGTGAATCTAGAAATCAAATCTGCTACTGGGCTTCCCTACCTTTTTCTAAAGCAAGCACTATGCTTTAATTTTTTCATTATTTTCTCTCTCTTACTCTTTTTTTCATAAACGATACATATATTCTTTTTTTTTAAGATATACATATGTGTAAGTACATAAAAGTAGAGAATATGATAACAAATTGTTGGAGAAAATATAAAAGCTTCAGGAATATAAGGGCATTTTGCATACCTTCTGACCCATCTGGCTGAGTACATTTAGAATGTCTGTTATGAGAGAATTTTCACCTCTGCTGAATCTTGTTCAACTCAATGAACTCAACAGGAAAATCAGTTCAGATTTGGTTTTGCTAGAAGTATTTATACAACAGGAGAACAGGAAGATAAAATGTCATCTGGAATGTTCATTGCTAAAAAAGAAAACTATTAGGCTCCTAGATAGAAAGGGGTACAGAAGAATGTTTCTTGTCTCAATTTTTTTTCTCTTTCGATGACAAGAATTTTATGTTTGAAAATTCATGTTAGAAAATTTCATAAAAGGAAGAAAAAAATCCCTTCTCTCAGTCTTTTACAGAGAGTTGTATTCAGTATTCCTAAGCATATCACAGAATCACAGAATGGTTTGGGACCTTAAAGATCATCTTGTTAAAACCCCTCCCATGGGCAGGGAAACCTTCCACTAGACCAGGTTGATTCAGAACCCAGTTTAGCCTGGCATTGGACACTTCCTGGGAGAGGGCACTCAAAACTATGGACAACCTGTACCAGGGTGTCACCTTCCTCAAAGGAAGAATTTCTTCCTAATATCTCATCTAAACCTACTCTCTTTCAGTTTCATTCCCCTTGTCCTGTCCCTCCATGCTCTTGTAAATAGTCTCTCTCCACCTTTCTTGCATACTAAACTGAAGAACTTCTCCCAGTTCATATATATTTCCTCCCTGTTTAAAGAGTCACTTTACAGACACCTGAGGGAGTTTTATGCAATTCATAAATCACAGGACTAAGCAAAGCTCAAAGAACAAGGAAGAAGCTGGCACACTAAAACCTGCACTTGTGAAACTACATATACTGGGGTTTTTTAGCCGATGCACTGTTTATGCAAACACATCACAATAGCAGGGTGATACAGGTGGTTTTGTCAGCTCTGACCTTCCTTAGCACTGGCTGTTACCATGGCCAGAACTGCATTCCACTCTGTTAATGTAACAGGAGTTCTTAAGTACAGACATTCCTAGGCATACAGTTCATCTGAATAACAACTCAAAGTCTAAAGAAAATCACCATTAATAGGCAGTCTGGAGCATAATTTAGCATGTGGTTATTTTCTGATATAATGGAAGACCTCCTCACATAACTTGAGGCAAAAGTTTGCATTTTGTGTAATGGTAGAACACCCTGTTCTCCTCTTAAAAAAAAAATTAGAACTACATGACAAAAATGTAACATTTAAAAAATGTTAAGTAGTAAGTAAATGTTTTTCTGCTAATTCTCTACATATTAAATTTTCCAGTGTTTCTTAGGAACTAAACCTCTTCCTATTTGTCATTGGAAGGCACTGGAAAAGGCCTGTGCTATGTGCTATGGCATCCACAATATGAGAAAGTCTTTAATTGTCTTTGCAAAGTGATATGCATTTGAACAACAAGCAAATAAAACTGGAGTACAGCACCTGATCTCAACTGGCCATGGAAATGGTGTGCTTTTATTTAATGACTGGTTGCTCCCTGGCAGCTATGTCCCACATACCAGTAACTCTAAAAGGTCTTCCTGGTGGCACTGGTACTAATTGCTAAATAAATTAATGTAATTCTTAGAATTATCTGTGAGGTTTTATTTCTTGTCTGCTGGAGTGATTCCAATGTAACAAAGTTTTTCTCCTCACATGCTACCACTCCTTAGACTTGCTCTGAGTTGTTTGAAAAATGCCCTGCTGTGTTTTTAAAGGTACTTGAAAATGTAACAACTCTCCCGGTCATATTTTCTAGTTTACTTCAGGTTTATCCAACATGAGCCACACGAATATAGCACTGAAGTGTAAAAAGAAATCAATACTGTCTATGAAAAAGAAATGGTGATTTTAAGAATTGAAAATCATACAGAAACTCATGTCAAATATATAACTTAAAAAAAAATTAATTTACCTCGAGTTCCTATTAAACTGCTCAATGTACTCCTACACAGGATTCCATTCTTTAAATTTTTCCAACCCAGTGTGCCTTAGAGCAGCATCTAGTTGAGCTACCATACCTCCACCTGCTTATGAAATGAGTGTGGTGTGTCAGCCTCAATGGAGACACAGAATCCATAAGGAAACCCACAGATGCTTTGGCAGGGGACCACAAGCTTTCTTCAAATTGCCATGCAGAAATAAATCCCTCTGTGTAGTAGCTTTGCTGTGGCACAATGGGCACAGCTGGAGACAATTGTGCCCGTGGACTGCATTTCCACAGACTGACCTGGCTGCTGAACCCCATCACAACCTGGCGCTGTTTGAGGTTGGTCTCCCCATCAAGGTTGGCAGTTTCCAGGTGGCAGATCCCGTTCTGATCAGAGGAGTAGAGCAGCAGCATATCTGCTGGGATGATCTCGTTACACTGCAGCTGCACAAAATCTCCCACTCTGACATCTTTCCAGCACTTCTCCACGTAAGCATGTTCCTCCCTGTTGCATTAAAAGCATATCATAGGTGATGAGTGACATTAGGAAGGCAGGACTGCTGGCTTGTGGGGCTTCAAAAAGAGAAAATAGGGGATGGGTGCACACTGACCTTTTATTAAAGGACGTAGCACAGAAACTGGAAATTAATGATTCAGACATGTCCATAGCACCACTTCACCATATGTCACATTCAAACCAAATCTTTACATGGAATAAGCAATTTACAGCAGTTCTCTTTCATTCTAGCACTAGTCCTATAATCTGCACAGCAAAATATATAGGGCAATTTGGACTAACAGAGGTATTTTCAAGTATCTTATTGAAGAAATTTAGATTATTGTTTTTGAGTGTGACTGTTTCCTAGATACTTTCCAACATCAACATATAGATCCTGAAAGAAGCAAACTGATACCTCAGCCACACTTGCTTCAGGTCTTTCTGGTTTGTAACTCACAAGATGTAGTTACAAATCTTGAGCTTAATGCATAGAAACAAATTCAAAAGGTGGAAGAGCTGACAAATGATTCCTTAGTATTAAGCAAAAAACAACAACAACAACAAAAAAACAACAACAACAAAAACAACAACCAGAGCCCAAGTTTAATGGAAAAGTTAAAGTGAGAAACAAATAGCTTCTAAATTAACACAAAATATTTAAAAAAAAAGGAAAACAGTCTATGGGGTTCAAGGAAAAGAAATTACTATTTAATCAAGGAACTAAATTCAGCAAATAGCAGACTTTTTTGACATTGCATTTTCAGAAATTAAACCTTCAACAGCTCTTTAACCATCTAAGCAGACCAGAAACTACACAATAAGCTTTAAACTTATTTAATGGGAAAAATGCACTGCAACAATTGCTTAGTTCCTCTAACTCCTTGAAAGGAAATTATTTTTTCAGTATAAATAAACAAATTTTCTTCTGCCTTGCTCTTTGAGAGGAAAAATGCTCATGATGCTTTACCAGACAGACAATAAAAGTCCTTTTGTAATGACTCAGAGTCTCATTTTTGGTTAAGTTATTAATCATCCTCATCTATTGCATGGAGAATACTATCTTTCATTGAAGTGTTTGTATCATGAGAAGGGGAGCAGCGATAGAAGAGATAAAGTGTTTTGCTACAGTTCAAAGCACACATCCAAGCACCACTTCACAGCCAGGCCAAGGACTGCATCCTAATAACCCACTTTCCTGGGTTTCTGCAAAGCAGAGCCAACCACAATGCTGCCAAGCAAACCCTCACACTTGGCTTATGCCCTTATCCACAAAACAACATCAACTAACAGTTACCTGTACAGGTTATGCAAGAAGTTAAATTCTGAATATTTCCCAGTGATACTCACTTTTTATTAAAAAAAATGAAACCCCCAACCAAATTATTTGGATCCCTTTACTGATGCTTTTGGAGCATATACTATACAATGGGGTTGTAGCAATTTTTTTCATCTTTCATTAATTTCTCTTTCCTGAATTTTTCATTCTTCTTATTTTGTCTGATTCTACTTACCTGCATATCCTTTTTCTTTTGAGCAACAACAGACATAAAAGACCACTGTCTTGTTTTGAAAGTGTCTTAGCAGGTGTCTGCTAAGGAAGGCAGGAGCTTCTCTTGAAATGGAAAATGTAAACCCCCTCCCTCCTAATTATTATAATTTTGAAATTAAAGAGCTCTCAGGCAAAGGTATGGGAATAGGAATAACAGCTTTTTACTAGAATAAATCAAATAAAAGCACAGTAATACAAAAAACGAAACACTGATAGAGTCAGAATACAACCTGACACCCTGTTGGTCAGGGTGTTGGTAGCAGTCTGATTAAGCTACAGTTCTCCGGGAGTGACAGATGTGGTTCTGTTGAAGCAATGATCCTGGAGAAGGGTGTAGTTTTCCTCTGAAGGATCAGTGGTGATGAAGATGGGCCTGGTCTTCCTCTGGGAATCCAGTGGAAAAAGGCTGACTGTGATGTTCAAATCTCAGATTATATCCAAGTAGGAATGCTTGGCTCCTTCACCTGACTGGGGTATCTCACAGTGGGATGATGTAATTTTATCAGTCATACAGTGGGACTCAATGGCCCATTAACAGAAGATATCTCCCTGGAGGGAGGATGGGTTGTGGAAAAAATAAAGAACACTTCCCCACCTGGTTTTAACAGATGACCCATTAGCAGAAGATATCCCCCCTGGCGATAAAGGTCACTGCCCCACCTGGTTTCAACAGATGGTGATAGAATACATACTTTTGGTTACATCTTGCTTTGCAACCCAAGACACCCACACTAAAGAACAGAGGTTTGTTGTAAGTTAATTAGATGTTGCTATGCATTGTAAAAAAATCTACCTATATTTCCATTTGAAAAGTATTTTAGCAAGTGTATGCTCAGTATTTAATCCTCTACAAAGCAGATACTAAGTTAATATAACAAATCAGCTATGTAAGTACCAATCTTTTCTGTGCCAAGCACTGTTTGAATAGGACTTCTTAATTTGTTTGTTCAAAACGTGAAAGAAAGAGTACAAGATCAGTTGAGGAAGTAGATGTCTTGCCTTGCCATCCTAGACAATTGGATGATATTTATAGTTTGCATATAATGTTTACTGTGGCTTCTGCTGGGCAGTCCTATCTCTCTGTACGTCAACTCTTGCACAATTCAGAAGTTTACAGAGCATATTTCTGTTTTTTTCCTCCCATAAAATGCTATAGAAGGGCGTTGTCCAGCTGGCTGTGTTCCATAACACAGATTAGCCCAAATAATCCGCAGAAATCACGGATTTGTAATTTTTTTTCAATAACTCCCCATGAAATCTACATTACACATGGGTTCTACCCAATCATTAATTACAGAGGAGACAGTGAGTCAGAAAAGCCAAATGACCTCTTTCAGATCAAAGGAAAATCCTTACTTAGCATGAGGACTACAGTTCAGGGATTGCTAGAATCCCAAACCTGCATTTAGGTGAACTGTCACTCTATCCCAATGAGTATTCAAAGTATACACATTTTATGTTCCTGAAGAAAACTCTTCATCAGAACTTGGAAGATTAAAAATAATATAATATAATATAATATAATATAATATAATATAATATAATATAATATAATATAATATAATATAATATAATATAATATAATATAATATANTAATATAATATAATATAATATAATATAATATAATATAATATAATATAATATAATATAATATAATATAATATAATATAATATTATATTATATTATATTATATTATATTATATTATATTATATTATATTATATTATATTAATCATATTAAACATAGTACAAAGCTTTTCTACAACTTTGTAAGGAATTGCCAGCAGATGAAAGGAAGAAAAGTACTTTGTGATGAAACTGGTGCACCCCATGGCAGCACTGTCCTAGTTGCCTAACAAGATTTTTCAGATGAAGCAGTTTCCTTACAGCAATCCCTGTAACTGGGAACACTGCCCATTTTCTGCTCAGTGATTAAAGTTAATAGCACAAGCTCTGGTTGATAAATAAACAGAGGAACTTAATAAACCCAAGATGGTCTGACAAGAAACATACAAAAAGGGTAAATGTATTGAACCAATAAAATAAACAAGATGTGGTGGTTTTCAATAGGTGGAAATCTGCTTGATTCTTATATCATGTGGTATCAGGGCCGTGGTACACTAGAGACAAGATGTAAGACAAAAGTTCCGCAGTCCCTTCTCTCTTTTACCTGGCAATTTATCAAAAGCACATTCAAAAACTGTTCCCTTGCTAATAGAGATCATGATGATGCCCCTCAAAGGATATTGCCAATGAAAAGAGGCCTTGAACAGTCAAAATTATGTCTGCCAGAACTGTTATTAAACTCATCAAATCTGAAGAGAAGGCCTGAACTAAACAGATTTTATGAACTAATTTCTGGGGGGGAAAAAAAGGACTATAAACAGTCCTGCTGCAGTTGGAAATAATGGGTGAACTTGAATAAATTATTGACTGTGTCAACCATTTGATTTCACTTTCTTAGATTCAATAAAGATAAATTTCAAACAAAAACTGGATCAAAATACATGGTGAATGGAGGGAAATAAAATTTATTGTTCTGCTATATAGAAAAGATTAATAAAAGTAATTTTTCATATGTGCTCCACTGCAACTGTGTCTCCTAGATTGTTTTCAGAAATATTTTTCATCCAGACACATTTTATCAGACAATTAGTCCAGTGAATCTTATTCCCTAGAACTATTGCAAGCTCCATCTTGGGATCCTTTGCAGTTCAAAATAAAGATACTGTTTGCTCTTCACTATACCCCCCCCCCAAATTGTCACCAGGTCATGGCACCTAGAAAAACATATCAGTGTTGTCAATGGAGAAACCTACATATTTATGTTTTGTTGTATGTAGATCTGCTAGAATGCTATATTTGAAAATTACCTCCTATAAGCACCACCTATTTTATAAAAAACACCAGTATTCTGGGATCCTGGTTTTACATGGGCAACAGGTTGAATCACACAACTGCTTACTCTTCACAGTCTATTTTTGAAAATAAAAATCTTGCACAGTTTCATGCTATCAAAGATTATACCAGCTTTTATATGCAAACCCCTCACAAAGTATTTTCAAAGATCACTTCATGTCCATGACCTCACCATTAGGTGCTATTGCCACAAAACAAAAAACAGACAACAAATGAGCAGATTTAGGACTCAAGGAAGGCACTAGATCAGGCAGGAACTGATTCTGAAAACTGTCCATAGATCAGAATACAGTATAATTGATTGATAATGTTCTTGAGCTGCAGATACTGTCTGAGCATGGGAAGGTGCCATAGTTTGCTTGTGGGTTTGTCACTGGCTCCTGCCACAATCCCATCCCGGAGCAGGGGGGGTTTTTCATGTCAGCACATCAGCCCAGCAGCACCAACAATGCCATCTAGCAGTGGCCAATTCTGTACCCAGCCTCAGCCTTTTCCCACAGCACCAAACTCTCAGGATTTGAGAGTTAAAGTTAAGGA